GAAACGGCTATTCGACATATCAATCAATGAGTACCTGCCAGGAAATTGGCACAATTGTGGATTCCGGGAACATACAGTACTCGCCGTTTGAAATCGAAAATTCACGCGAATAACGCGAATCCTCGTTAATTTCGTGAATTCGTTATAAGTCGGGTCAGAGTGAAGTATTCCAGAAACGGAAAACACCGTTGAACTCAGCTCTTCAAGCGCTACAAGATGGTGCTAAAATATTTTCAGAAAGCTTGATTTCGGAATGCGCCATGCACTCGATTTCATCTCAAAAAGTAGTTGCTCGCATGTGATGTGTATATAATCCCGCTTATGCGGGCTAACCGCTACACACAAAGAAGGGCCTCAAAACTTACCCCAGAATGCGCCACGTACTCAATCTCATCCACTACATTGTGAGATTAGATGAATGTTATTTTCCGAATTCTTAGATCTTCATTTCGTTTTCAAGCGCTTACTAGCTTTACGTGTTCCCTCTGCTCTCAATATCCTTCTCTGTTATAGTCAGTGGATCTTTAACGTTTACAGGCATAGGGGCCTATTATGTGACATTTTCCATTTTCAGAGGACATGTTTTTGCAGAAGCTGTGAAGATAGCGAACAATTTCCTTCACTGTCGTAGACTACGGTCACTTGTCTGTAGGAATTATGTGGAAAACTCGGTCGCAAGTGAGCGTTCCTTCCGTGGTGTGGCCCCAAACATGCCTCCTCGTCATGCCCTTGTGGAAAGTTCAGATTTTTTGCATTTCCAGATGAACTCGCAGACCTGAAATGTGCCCCGTTAGCTTCCCCGTAAAAATGCTATCGAATGATATGCATTACTTCCCCCAGTTGAAACTTTGGTTTTTCACCGTTTTCAGCCTTCCCCTATTGCCGGATTGGGCACACGATTACTGCCCCAAAATCTCAAAGTTTCATTTTTCGTCGAAACTTTGTCTATTGGGGTAATTCGATGCCCTGATTACGAATATGACATTCATTTTTGATGCTGGTGTCATTTGGCGCCATTTGGCGCCGTTTGGCGCCAATTTGGCGCCACGGCTGTTTTCACCAAATCTGCTGAAACTTCGTCATTTGGGGTTATTTGGGGTCCTGATTACGAAAACGACACCCGTTTTTAGCGCTGGCGCCATTTGGCGCCACGGCTGTTTCCACCAAATCCGCTGAAAACGTGTGTATAGGGGTTATTTGGGTCCTGATCACGAATATAACATCTAGTCTTGACGCCGGCGCCTGGTGTCACAAACAACACTTCACAGTCAAAGCGTACTCTTAGGCACCTTTCTCAGAGCGCCGACTGTCAGACCATGGAAAAGGTCATCGAATCGGAGACTTTCCCACGACAGGAAGGAGCCAGACCGTGGAAAACTGAGCTAAGCCAGAAGCATATTTCTCGTTTTCACTGGAGATGAATGTATGCGTTGGAGCAGAGCAGCAATCAAGCCCGGCACTACCATTCTCAGTATGGGAGCTGTCCCTTCGAGGAGTCATTCCTTGTCAACGCTCTAAAAGCCACTGCTGCGTACCCAACGTCGGCGGTTGTATTTGCGTTTGATAACCAGTGTTTCGTCAATTTCCATCTCGCACCCAAACCTTCCGATGATCGGCGGGTTCCTCCTGAAGTGCCCCACACATTCGCGGAAGAACCGCTCCCACTGAATTGAACTGGTGTGGCCGACATTGAGCTCGTATTCCTTGTCCTTCACCTTGCCCATGTCGCGCAGCCAGAAATAGGGCAGTGCGAACGTGGACTCAGGAAAGTTACAGTTCTCGAAAAAGGAATCCTTTCGGGCATGAACGTAGACCCTGGTCTCGTTCGACGGTCCAGTGCGGCACGCTCGACGATTGCAAATCCAGCCGTTGTGCCGTTCGTCGTTGATCAGGCTCATGGATCGTTGACATGAATGGCATGTAGTGGCACAGACATCAACCCATAAATCGCAACCAGTAAGTGCAGATTATTCAACTTGAGCGTTAACGTATGTCTTCAGGGTACGCTCAGGTAGTTCAGTGACGATTGTTTCGCCTATAGGTAGCAGGATGCCTCGGTTATTCTGCCTTGATCAAAAATTGGAAACTATTCATTCTGAGCGAGGTCTCCTCCTGTGGAGGAGGATTGGGATGAAGTTTATCGAGTCGGTTGTTTTCTCATGGTCTTGATCGAAGTACGAGGAAATGCACAACTCGCAGGTGTGGTGGATGCAATGCGTGTGAGTAGTGTCGCGAGGTTACGCCCCCCCCGAATCGGTCTGGCCCGACCCCTCTAACAGAGAAATTAATGTCAATGAAGAAAGCTTGCAAGCAGGACTGATCTCTAGAGAAATTCCAAACAAGGGCAAAAATGCGCTGGATGCGCTATTGACTAACGTGTACGGGGTGCTTAATGATATTAGCTATTGTCTATTGCAGTTGGCCGCTTCACATTGGTACTATGTGGTGGATAGAATCGTATTGAATTTAATTTGCTGAGTCTGCTGGAGGAAGGAGTGCTCTGTGGCCTGGACATGTTGGTTGGCTCGCGTCAGGCATCCGGGACTGCTCGTCGCTCTGGCTGTCGGAAGCAGTGCGCCCCAGGGAGGCTGAGGTGGCTTTTGTCGGTAGACGGCTTCAAAACGGAATGTCTGTTGGTGGGCTAAGATATGGGCTCATGGTAGTATCTGTGCTCGTGTCGGATTTCAAGTGTACTGAAAATGTCCATACGATCGATGAGCATTGACCGGGGGTTCTGTTTGGGTTTCCTTATCATCATCCTGCAGACGATTTTAGATCTTCTTAGGGCACATTTGATCAGAATTGAATCCTTACTTTTTAAGTAGATTGAGAACCCTTTCCATCGATCTATCTTTAATTATTGGGTATTATGTAACAATGAAATAAGGAGGAGAGTTGGCAAAACCATGAGGCTTTGAAGAATACAGTGCAGAGAGTTACTACAGAAAAGCGCAACGGGACGATTAGAAAAGACATTTTTCTGCAAATACCCTGTCTGAAGCGGTCGATGGGTGAGGCTACTCCAACTCATGGTAGACATTCAAAAGAGAGGAGCTGGTTCTTGATGGGGTGTATGAACACTACGGACTGCAAAGCATGCTCTGCCACGTGCTCCAATACTGGCCACAAGGTTGGTTAAGAGTTCTTGTGGAGAAGCGATCCATTCCTTGAAGACCGCGATTGACAACTGCTGGACAGTTGTTGGCGCATGGGGATGCGCTACAATAGCTCTCCTGAATGCACGCCACACACGTGCTCCATAGGATTTGACTGGGGGCGGGCAGGCTTCACCAATCGCCGGAAATCCTCGCTTTCCAAGAGTTTTCCACCTAGGCTGCTCGATGCTCTCGCACCTTGTCCTCCATACGATTGAAGTTGAGGTCAAAGGCACCCTTGAAAAGATGCACATAAGTGAGGAGTACAGCGTCACAATAACGTCGATCAGAAAGCATTCCGCGATCAGGAGTTGGGAGGTTGGTACGCCCTTGCAACTTTATGCCTCCCCACACCATATCGAATGGACTATCAAAACAATCATGTTGAACGATGGTCCTGGGTGCATTACGTGATCCTATTCTCGCCACATGCGGGTAAGTCCAAAATCACTACCCACACTCAATTTGCTCTTAACTGAGAAGACACGCGTTCCTCCAAATCGGTGGTCCATCGCTAATGTCTCATCAAATGTTCCAGCCGATGCGCGAGTTTCAAGGAATTACAGATACTGTTGGTCATCAGAGAGACCATGCCTATGCGGTCACTGTACCACTGTTCAGCCTGGGATTACGTGCCTTACAATCCTGATAAATGTTTTTGCAACTGCAGCCTGTGACTGACGTGGGTCCAATTCTTGCCTGTTGCAAAACGTAGCAATCACCTGCTGTTGCAGTTGATCGTGATCCACCACCTACTCTTCTAGGGCAGCAGTGGCTGCAGTCCATATTGCTCCCATGCGCACAAAACAATGGTGTGAGCAACATCAAACTCCTGGACCACACTCGTTACAAATCTTCCTTCTTCCAGTTTCCCGGGATTCTTCCTCGCGTAAAGTCACCCTAGTGTTGTCTCTGAGACTTGCTGTAATCAAGAACACCAA